TATATATTTACCGTTAATTGTTTTCGATTTGTTTGGCGGCTAACAGTTAAATTTTAAGCTTTTTTACGCCTAACGGTTAAATTTTTGGCCCTTTTACAGCTAACGGTTAAACTCCATTGAGACCCTCTGAGAAGAACCAAAACCCGCTCTTAACCCCTAAAAGGTACGACGAGTGCCCCTGTCATTTTCATTTGACTCCCCCCACCCCACTCCCCCGAGTACTGAGAAACGCACTGTTCTCATCTGCTCAAGCTATCTTTTGTTTTGTTTTGTTTCGTTTTGTTTTTTTTTTTTTCTTGTGTAGATGTACCTCTGTTCCAGTAAAATTGTCAAAGCTACTGTTCCAGTAATGTCGACATCGTAAGGTGGATTGGCTGAACAAATGTCGCTTGGTGTATGTAAATTCGAGAGAATAAAAAAGTGGAATTGAAGTGGCATCATCGTTCAATGTTACGTAGCCTTTGAGACAGATCTACAGTAAATGAAAATTTGATTCCGATCTTGCAATTAAGGATGCTATAGGTAGTTCGAATGTAAACATTTTTAGCAAGTAGGCGGAGCTTAGGTCCAAGGACATTTATTTTGCTGTAATGCAAAAAAATACAGATCGAATACAGATAGGGGGCAAAGTCTTCTCTGAAGAGAGGCGAGTTGATATGTCAAAACTTCGGCGAAAGTAATATAATTTTCTGAGCCCAACACATGTGAAACTTGCGAGCCCTGTTCAGTTTTCTATAACCTTTTTTGTAGACAAGTGACGTTCCCAAGTTTAGCAGGCCATTAACCGGTTTGTTTGAACAAGGCTTTGAAGTTGTTTAAACTCAGTATTTACCTGTCAGGAAATATCTTTTAATTTCAAGTTCCATGGATATGTCAGCCGTGTTTGTTGAAATACTGCAGTTTGAACGAAGTTATTAAGGCGGCCCGGCGCTTCAATATGGAGTGTCGAGTTTCGGTGTCCGGCTAAACAGCTAAAAAACGGAGGAAATGAGACTTTTTCAGAGGAAAAGACAAGTGCTAACTTTAATTTAAATTCAGATGCGAAAACGAATAGGAAGGGGGAAAAAACACGAGTCGGTAGATTATTTTGAAAACATAATGTCTTCGCTTCAAAGTCATCAATCGTAGAGGTGATGAAACAGCACACAAATAGGAACGACGACTAAAATATAAAGAGCTTTAACGTTAGGCGGACATGTTTTCTCGAAACCCGAGATTTAGGGAAACAGGTTGCTAAGTGACAACCCGTGATGGCCACGAACTGACATGACGAACAACAGACACTGGTTGGACAAGAACGAAGCGAACACTTGGGAAAATCAACTACTTAAGACATAATACTTGGGTCTTAAAGAAATATTGATATTTCATCGCAGTATACTCCGCTGGGCTTCATTTACAGATAAACATTCCTTTTTAACATAGCTACTTCGAGGAAATAATTCAAATTTGCCGGTTCTCCAGTAACAATCGCTTCTGACCAACACAACTTCATTTCTAACCGTTTCTATCAATGGACTCGTCGTCTTTCAATTTTAACTTACCTATACCGTCTTAAGTCACAGAATTTCACAACTTTGTAACTGTGAAATTCTGTTATTTTTCTGTTTTTCCAAAATTAAACCGGGCAACTTTCTACTTTCTTGTTCATTCAAAATAGATGGAATGTTAGTATTTTTAGTTTACTTTTATAATAATAATAATTTTTTTTTTTTTTTTGTACTAGCGGTCATCTAGTTTTCACTCGACCAGTTCGAGAAAAACAGAAGTGAGTGAAAAACTATTACTTGCCATTTCGGCATCATCAAAGCAGATTTGTCATGGACACTTTGCATTTCAAACAGTTTTCTTCAAATGAATGGTAAATATTAGTTTCGCGCTCGAAATAGAAGGTTTGACATGCCCCAATTCACTTTTTAATTACTTTTTTTTTTTTTTGAGTCAAAGCTTGCGAAATGTTTGTCTTGTAAACGTGAAGAGATTTTTAATGCTAAGCTCAGTTTGGACTCTGGTGTAGACTGGCAAGCTATTTGTCTTATCAGACAAAACATATTACGAGAACAATAATCCATGTTAGTTCAACTTATAGGGACTGTTCAAAGAATGTTTTATACGCTGAAAAAAATTCAATTCTTCCAGATATTACGGATTTAATTTACCTCAAAGAAATGATATCGTGATTGCTTTGAGAGATTGACCATTGGTCAAAATATTTCTGCTGTCGTTAATGGTTTACAAAGTTCAGAAAAAGAAATCAATATTCCGAGAGGAAATGTATTTTTATATTTATCTTGTAAAATACGATTCAAAAGATAATGGTTGAGTCGTATCATCAAAAGAAGCAACATTTAATGGCTTGATAGTGATAAAAGCAAACCCTCGAATGATTTTCGCTTCCCATTAACGACCTCTTTTTTAATTCCACCAGAGTGGATGATTGCGGATGTGCGATCCCAGCATTTGACATTTGCGGCTCACAATTGACAACTTAGCGAAAGACTAGTTGTCTTGCGAAAGCTTTTTCTCTGGCAAACATTCAGCTGGTCAAACAAAGTTAGTCTTCCATTAATTATTTTGATAGATCTGCCGTGCGATAACTGGGTTTAAAGCCCCGCTGAAAGCCAGTAAGCTTCGCACACTATTTAGAATATCGCCTGCTTGCCGACTCGCCTGAAAGTAATAAGCAAGTTGCTTATTAGTAATATTGCGAACCGTTAGAAAACTGCCTGCCGCTTTTTGCGATTCTACGAAAGACCATGGGCGACGACTCAAGTATCATCTGCCAGACGGCTTACAACGATTGCCTGCGGCACGATATTGAGAACAATATCACGGATCCTGATTTCGACCATGGTTGCTGGAAGGCCTTTTTTGACCTGTGCCTTCCAACAGAGCGTCCAACCCAAGTCGACTCCAACAAGGCGGCTTTAGCTTTCGACATACCGCTTATTTTGATCGCGGCGTTGTCGATTGGCACCAATTCTCTCGTATGCATCGTGTTCTGCCTTTACAGACAGCTTCGGTTGATAAGGCATTACTTCGTGATCAATCTCGCAGTTGCCGACATCTTGATTGCCGCCATTCTGATACCGCTTTTTGTCGCAGCCCAGTTAACAACTGACAATATTGCTTTATGTCGTTGTCAGATCGTGTTGGACATCGCATGCGGCACGGCATCCCTTCTGTGTCTTGCGTTTATCAGCCTAGAGAGATACGTCGCCGTCAAATACTCGCTTCACTATCACTCAATAGTTTCTCAGCGTAAAGCCATATTTTGCATGGCATTCATCTGGATATATTCCATCATTGCCTCTTGTGCGGCCTTCTTGTCCCTGCTGAAAGACTCCGATAACGAGTCGTGCTTATTCTTTGGACGCGAGTACGTTACGTTCATCACAGTAGCAAGTTTTGTTACCCCGGTCGGCGTTATGGCTATTTCTTACTGGAACATATTCCTCGTTGCTCGCGCTCACGCTCGCAGAATAGACTCATTGTCCATGCAAGGGTATTCTGAGAGATCAGGCGAGTCAAAACGCAGGATGAAGCGCGAACTCAAAGGAGCGAAGATTTTAACCATCATAATGGGAACTCACTTTGTTTGTTGGTGCCCGTTGTTTGTTTTCTTTCTTGTTTACACATACTGTCCCTCTTGCCGAGGGGACACCATGCGGGTTGTGAACTACGTCATACTGTTCCTCCGACATTTCAACTCGTTCTGTAATCCACTTATTTACAGTGGGATAAACAAGCAGTTCAGAGCCGCTATCAAAAGATTTGTGCTGCATAGAAACGAAAGCATTGAAGAACTACAAACAACGGCTGCTACAAGATCTTGACTGACATTTTCTGACGCTGGTATTTGTTCCATATTACTGTAGTTTAAACTGACATCTTCTTTTACTTCATATATAATATCAGCTTAACATCTTATTCAAAGTCAGTCTTGCCAAAAGTGTATGCACGTGTACCCAGAATTATTCTTCTTTCCTCTTCATCGGGAGTAAAACACCATGCTAAAGCGGTTTTTCAATTGAGTGTCGTAAAACAACGACCAAAGTGAGGATAAACAATCCCAATAACCATTCTAATCGCAGTAAGTCCATGTAGCTGACGCAGAGAGCGGGAAAACGTGAGTGAGCGAGTCTGGTTTTGGTTTAACTTCTAATTGGATGAAAAAGTGACGCGAGTTTTTTAAGCCAATCATGTAACGCAGAAATCCAAAGTCAATTACTTTTCGACGCTCAAGTGGAAACTGCTACGGGTAATATATTAAAGAATTATTTGTACTCGCTAAACAGTGACCTTCCTTTATATTTGGGATTGCACAATTCAATTACAATACAATAGTAAACGTTTTGACCTCACGTTTTTCTCGTTAAGGTGTCCATTCGTTTCTTTTTCTGTTACTTGAGATTTTATTTTCAAAAACAGTAAAAACCACCCTTGTTTTTCTTTGTTTTTAGTTTTTGTACTGTTTTCCTCGCGACCCATGGCTGACCCAGTTTGGCCACATGGTTGTTATGGTGTCTTGCGTGCTCGTTGGTATTCTAAGAATAGTACGAAAATTGATAGCAGTGAGCAGAACATTGTGAATTTAGACATCCGTTTTATGTCGTTCGTGTAATTCATTATCCCTAGAAAGTTGATTTACACTTATTTTATTGGTCATTTTAATGAGTCGCGTTATACATGCATGTTTAAGGCGGCAGAAATCTCTCCGGTAGTACATGGATATGATAAAGTTGTAATACCGTGGAAACGATATGTTCTGCTTTTTTATTTGTGTATGTATTAGCTAATTTAAAACCTTTTCCGCAAAGCACGTTTTCTCGGACATTAGAGAGATAAAGCATGACGTTACGTCAAACGGCAAAAATTTTCATTTTTGCCGTCTGTCTTCAGCTGTCTATACAGTAGAGTGAAAATATTTGTATTTGCGGTGAATAGTAGAAAAAATTTGCTAATTTTGGTGTGACGTAGTTAAGGATTAGAAGAAAAGAACACAAATTCAGAGATAATCTTTGCCGTTTGCCGTCTACGGTAAACGTCATGCTTTAACTCTCTCTATTAATTAAATTCCACGTGAGAGTAAAATACGACATCTAAATTAGACCTGCAATTTATTATTTTGGCGAAATGAGGCCATTTAATGACTCTACTATCTTAGTTTCAGACATCATGCCATAACCAAAGCAATCTTCGTGTATATTCTGTAGTTTTATTATATCTTGTTTAGTTTCTCGCAGTATATGCCATAAATAGAAACCTTCAATTAAAGAAGAGCGTGCTCTTTAATTAGATTTGAATGACAACGGATTTGGTGGCGTAATTGTATTAGATTGCAAAGAAAATCATCGGATGGCGGTTTTAGCACATTGAGATTTTTGACCAAAATTTCACTTTATGAATTTTACTTTCATGTTGAGACTTTATATTTGCTCAAGGTTTTATTACTATTATTATTGTTATTATTATTATCATTATTATTATTATTTCTCTATTTATTTATTTATTTATTTTTGTTGCTGTGTGTCTGTGTGTATTTTTCACAAAGGAAGAACTGCATTGCATCTCGTCTCTCAAAATTAGTCCCGCCATTATTCCTAGAGATGTTCCTAACTCATGTTTTGACCCTTGAGATGCAATAGCGTCTTTCCAAAATAATAAACATACTTAGTTGTCTACTTTAACTTTAGTTTGCTTATGTGAAGAAAGAATTAATAAATAAACAATGAAGGTGTAAGGTTAGGGTTAAACAGAAACTGCCACCGCGGACAGTGTTTAGCTTTTCTTATAAGAGCATTTGTGTGTCACCTTTTCCAACGTAGAAATGTATGAGATTAAGGTCCAGTCCACAATACGCCGGTGGAATTTGAAAACGGGGGTTTAACTCTGAAAACGCATCAAATGTTTTCCGGCCACATTAAGCCGCAGGAATTAAAAACGCAACAATCATTGGTATTTTGGATTTTTGTTTGAGGAAAACTCGCTCAGAAAGATCACACGATGCTCGTGACGCCATCGTTTTCGAAAAGCTCCGTTTTCAAAATGTTTCCGCACACACGAAAACGAAAAGCATGCGTTTTCAAATTCCCGCGTTTTTAAAAAGCTCCGTTTTCATGGAGAATTAGTGGGGACTGTAAGCCTAGCCAGAGAAATAAAGCTGCGTTTTCAAATTCTCTGGCCTATTGTGGACGGAGCCTAAGCCACCCGTTTTGCCTTTCATTTTGATGTCTGTTGAACAAACAACTGAAAGAACAAACAAACTAGCTAACAAACGATATATATGGCAACAATATAACAGCTTTTGTTACAGCCGCCCTTTCCGAAAGTAAACTCCCGAGCAAGCTTGGTTAATAAGAGATTTGTTACACGAATAAAAATGAATACAAAATGCCACGATCACGGGCTGAAGAAACATCGCAATTAGTCTTTAGGTGC